CCTTTGTCACACTCACCTCAAACATAAAGCTGAAAGTATCATATGCTTATTCAAATACAGTTTAAAAAGATAAGGAATAAGCCTAACCTGTGATAAAACTTGGCGATCGCTTATAATCCTTTTCATTTGTCTAAGTTGCTCTTCTGCAGCATTAGACCGAGCATGTTCATCTTCCAATTTCTTCTGGAGCTCTGCAATTTTAGATTCATACGTGTAAGTGGTTTCCGCAAGTTCCCTTTGATATTGATAGTTGCCCTTCTCTTGTTCCTACCAACACCAAAAAATACCATTTAGTTTGAACAGAAAACTACTGCATTCAAAAAGTACAAAAAGAAAATTTAAGCTATTAACTAACATGAATAGACTTCTGTTGTTTACTCAAAACATTTTTCATTTCGTTCAATTGGTGCTCGGCGGTTGTTGACCGAGCTTGTTCATCCTCAACCCGCTGAACCAACTCCGCAATTTTTTTCTCATATACTTGACTAGCATCTGCAAGTTTTTCTTGATATGCTGAATTTTCCAGCTGTTGCTGCTACTAACATTTAAAAGGACACTGTCAGAGCCCATTAATACATGAGTGTTGTATTATATATATACTTTTTTTTTGGTTGGTAAATATATGTTATATTTGATGTCAGGCCTTTAAGAAAAAATTCAAGAACTTCTGTCAGTAGTTAAATAAACATCAAACAAAAAGAGAGAAGTATTGATCTAAAGGTATATTTTAAGTAGTTACCGAGAGAACTATTAACGATATATGGGAGAAGGTGTACCTTGGTATTTTTCAAGTTCATCTCTAATTGTGTGGCTTTGTCACGCATTAGATCACACTGATCTTTCTGCAGTTGCAATTCTTTCAAAAGTTGTTTCATACTGAGCTCCAAGCGGGCATTTTCCTTCTCCAGGAACTGTAAGTCATATTCAACCCTCACAGTATATAAGCACCAGAGATATAGAATATCATAGGAAAATAGGCATCATATCAAGAATCTAGACAACACTCAAATACTGTACATACGTTAACGAAGAGTAGAAGAGAAAAATACCTTTGACCTTGTAACCGCGTTCTTTTCTGCTTCAGAAAAAGTCTTTTCACATTCTCTCAATCTTTTCTCCAACTCGTGCTTCTCGCTATTTCTTAGTTTGTTTTGTCTTTCAACTTCTGCAGTAAGATGGTCCACCTGAGTCTCAAGCTTCCGACACAAACTTTCATAGTCGAATTCTTCTTTAAGCTTTACCATGTTTACTATCTTCATTGCCTATAAAGCAAAGACATGACCAAGAAGGCATTATTATAAAGTTTTATGAAAGAAATAAGACTGTTAAATACTAGAAAATTGTCTTTCTCAGTTTATGGTTTTGCTAGACCCTGTATAAAAGAGATTCTGCAGAGAACAAAAACTTCAATATATCTAAGCAGCTAGACTCATGGATCTACAACACATTTTTCTGAGAAAAGAAAAAGAGATATGAAAACTGACCCGTTGTCCGAACATGATTGTGCTAGTGGTTTCTGCATGATACCGTGCAGATGGCCCAATTGTTATGATAAGTGAAGTCCTCGCAGAACCTATTTGATCAGAGCCAAATTCCAATTTCAAATCTATTGTAGCTGACACAATAGTAACAAGGATAATATGAAACATGTATATGACATGGAAGTGTCCCACACTTGTGAAATCTATACATACATAGACATTGAAGTAGTTTTTGGTTGAAGAAATTTTTGGTAAACTAACCCCCAAAAGAATCACGAAGAAGCCTTGTTAGCTTAGAATCTCTTGTCGGTATATGAGAACTGCCTTCAGCTAATGCATTTATGCATTTTCCCAGGGATGTCAGTGAAAGATTAATGAACTTTGCCTCTTCAATCAAGTGGCCATCAGTGCCTTTTC